TAAGCCTTACCTGTACTGCTCCTTCGGAAGCGGAGCGAACTCTATCTCCACTCCCCAGATATCCCGGAGCTCTTTCGTGTGCCCCACGACTACTCCAGTATATAAAGGCACCAACCCTAATGGCGCAAGGTACGCGTGATTTTTCTGTTCTCTAGCTCTCTAACTCTCAAAGCTCTTCAGTTCGCATCATATTACTAACTTAAGCATCGGAGCGACCTCGCCGGGTTAGCCACCCCGGGTTCTCTGATCCTTTCTTGCAGATTCACTTAGCTTGCCATCCAACTGGAAGCCAGATCACCCTCCAACAGGGAGAAGTCAGATCACGCTACATCAAATTGAATACAGTTCTAGGTGTGCACAACCAGCATTGATGGAGTAGAGTGGGGAAATTTCGTTGGAAGTAGAAGAAATAGAACAGCTGAACCTGAGAACATAAGTCTCTGTTTAATCACAAGGCTTGGAGTTAGATTCACCTCTGGGCTCACAACATAGAATTGCACTCTGTATTGTTTTCTGCCACGGTTTTCGAGCTTCGAATTCCCAACTCCATAGTCCTTTTTCCTGTTCATCTCTTTGTACAGCGGTCTTTCATATCTCTCTCGCAGGTTTGACTCTTGTTCGGTCTCTACTATGAACCCTTCAACATTTCTCTAGGGTCCGTTTGGTTCATAATTGGAATCAAAATTGAAATCCTCTGAAATTGTAATTGGAATGGTTCATTCCCATAGTCTATTTTGGTTCAAACAGGAATGAGAATGAAAATTAAAATCAGCAAGAATAGGATTTCATTCCCAAGGGAGAGGTAGGGAATGACCATTCCCTCAAATAGTGGAATGCCATTTCAGCAGTAATGGGAATGGGATTCCGATTCCACCTAACCAAACAGTTAGAATTAAAATAGCCCATTCCGATTCCGATTCCAGATAAAAAATTAAAGTATTTATTTGGCTAATTTCTATGGATGTTCAATGTTGATTGTGCCCACCTAGAACTGTATTCAATTAATTTGAATTTCTGCTGCCCAAATTCGAAATGACTACAAAACAATATTGTAGCATAAGGATCTTGATACATAAATTGGATAATTTTTACTTTGTTTTCTAGAAATTCTTATACAAGATCTAATCTACTATATTAGAATACTTTGTTCAAGAAAACACGTTAACAATATGAAGATTGTAGTCAAAACCTAAGCTTAAAAGTTCTCTTGATTAATTGTGTCCCTGTCCAAGGAGGGGCGGCTGACTAGATGTTTATGAATTTCTAGACATTACAAAACCTTTTAGCAACTTGTGAATTCTACACTGGGGAAAGGTGATTGAAATACAGAGGGATTCATTCCAATGCATTTAACAAGTTTCGGACGGGTGGCATGTTAACAATGATCAATGGACTACATTGAAATTGATGAATGGTTTTTTAGAGTCGTAAGAGTTGGACCCACCCAGATGGTTGAACCAGTGATCCAGTGATCGGTTTGTTAATTGAAGTGAAATACTCACAAGCTTTAGTATGATTGAGTCATACAATAGCTAGAATAATTTGATTAGGGATGATACCTCCCAATCATTTCAATTTCTCTTGAACTGGGGGTTCCAAGTGCTTTGTCCATTCTATCTTTCCAAGTATTCAGTACCTGTTGCTTTTTCATTAGGGGGCCTTCTTTACACCAGTCATTCTTCCAAAACTGGACCCTTCTACCATTTCCCACTTTTTATTTAATACCCTTCAGAAGCTAGGTCTGTATTTTTTGAATTACATTCCATCCATCACCAGCCCATTATTTTATTTTGTAAAAAGCAGATCATTAATTCAATCATGTATATATTAGTTAACATCTGTTTTTGTTTATTTGAAAATATCCTTATTTGCCACAAAACATTATTAAAGATCTCTCTTACTCCAACGGTTGGACCTCCGAAGCTACTTCCTTTTATTTTTTCATACTTTAATCTTTATTATTATAACTTCCCACGTACAACGGACGTACACTCTTACTAGTAATAATAAAAAATATAAATATAATTTCTTTTTATAAATTTTATAAAAAAAATGAACATACATTAATATTATATATTCTTCATATTAAATAAAAATATGTTTAAAAAAATAAGAATTATTGTTAGTAAAGATAGAAATGACTAAAATACAAAGAAAAAAATGAATTAATATCTTAATCATGGTCCATTTTCTTGGTTAAATAGGTTAATGGTTCAACCATTAAGGTCCTTTGGTTACTAATTATCAACATCATCATCATTTGGTACTGCCACGTGCAAAAATAAATGCAGAAATAAGAATTACTTTTATTGATGATGAAAATGTAATACATGATTTAAAATCAACTGAAAAAGAATAAATGGTTTTTCCACCAAAGTGGTGGGTTAGTGGTTCAACTATCCATGTTAAATGGATAAACACATGTTGTTATTATTAAATAATAAAATACATTGAATTATAGAAAATGTAGAATTTTGTAAATAATTTTGGGTACATTCTATAGTATTATATATTCATCATATAAAAAAATGTGATTAATGAGAACTATTTTCATTAATGATAAAAATTAGGATAAAAAATAATGAGCAATAATGTCTAACACATGACCCCACTAACCATGTCAAATGGTTCAATGATTTAATTAGCTAGGTCATTGTAGCCAAGTGGTTTGATAGGGATGCAAATAGATCGGATCGGATTTGAATCAGGGTATATTTGAATTTGATTCGATCCAAAGATCTGATTGGATCTCATAAATATTGATTCAAATTTGAATCCGATCAATATGTTGGATATTCGAATCTGATACGCCCCGATTTAATTAAAAAATAATAAATTATTAAAAGGAAAAGAAAATATAATAATTGAAAGAAAGAAAAACAAAAAATACAAGTAATTTTCCAACTATTTTCATCATATAAGAAATTTACAAAAATGCAATATAAATAACATATTTATTATAAATAACAAATATATTATATATAAATGATATATATATATATATATATATATATATATATATATAATTGATTTGACCACAATGTTAAAAACCAATATTCAAACAATATATTGGAATTGCATTTTTTCTTGGTAAATAAGTGATTTTTATTATCTCATAAATTAAATGATAAAAAATAAAAATATAGATTTTTTATAAATTTTATAGAAAAACTTGAGCATGCATTAGTATTATATATTCTTCATATTAAACAATAATATGTTTGAAAAATAAGAATTATTGTTAGTAAAGATAGAAATGGCTAAAATACAAAGAAAAAAATGAATTAATGTTTTAGTTATAATCCATTTTCTTGGCTAAATAGGTTAATGATTCAACCAATAGGCTTATTTGGTTGCTAACTATTATCATCATCATCATTTGATATTGCCACGTGCAACACACGTACACTTTTACAAGTAATATTAAAGACATGAATTGGTATATGTTCCTCACACCGACCTTATAGCCACATCCCACAGTGTATTGGGAACATCTCCCACGAATAATAATATACAAGTATGTGAGATGATCCTGATATGTAGCTTATACATGCTGTGAGGTTGGTGTGAGAAGCACTTAGATTCATACTCTAAAGATATGTTCAATTTTTTGTAAATTCTATAAGTTTTATATTTTGTATTTTCATTATTTATTTTATGATATCACAAGTTAACTTGTTTAACCGAGAGGGAAATGCAATTGCAATTGACTTTTAGAATATTGATTTTATTCCTTGGTCAAATCAACTGGTTAACACAAGTAAACCCATCATCAAACAATGATTGTGAGTCCATTTACCACCAAACTACTTACTTGCAATTGGTTAGTAACATGGTGACTTAATTGAACCATTTGACCAAATTAGTGGGATTATGAATTGGACACCAATTTTTTCTAAGTTTTGTATCTCAATTCTATCATTAATAAAACAATTCTTATTTATCACATTTAGTTTTTAATATGCCAAATAATATAATATTAGACATGTGTCCAGAAAGTTTTGTTTTTTTAATTATGACATCATGGGTTGACCAATTTGACTCAAATGGTTGAAGTTGAACCACTAACCTTCCACCTAGATAGAAAGTGGTTTATATCCTATTTTCATCATTGATAACATCTTTATATTTATCATATTTATTTTGTGGGTTACCATTGTATGGCCGGGTTTTTTTGCCTTCTCTATTTGGGCATTTTTGTTGTATATACTTACTTTTTCTCTCTTTTAATAAAGTTTTAAGGTACAAAAAATATCATACCCAAAAGTTTCTATAGATTTTCTTTATTTTTTTATGTTTTTGTATATTTATCTATTTTTAATTTTTATTATTTAATTATAGCATCTTGGATTGATCTATTTGGCTCAGATAGTTGAACTACTTACCCACCACATAGATGAAAAAAATAGTTTTCATTTTTGGGTTGATTTTAAAAGCATATAGATTTTTATACTATAAAATCATTATTTATTAACTTAATTAACGAAATTTGTTGATAAAACAAAATTACCTTAAATATAGGATTCAACGATAGAGAATAGGAGTTAATAACTTAAATATGAGATTTAATGAGTTGAATAATAGTATTGGATTTATACTTTTTGCCCCAAAATGAATAATGCCCAAATTCAAATGAGGGCTATATTAGTAAAAAAAATCTAGAAATCAATAGGAGTGAATACCTTAAATATGGGATTTAATGAGAGGGAACTAATAAAATGAAAAGTGATATTGAAATTACAATTCCCACCCTTGTATCCAAATTTAGATTGAGTGGTATTTTAGTCAAAAAAAAATCTCAAATCTCAAATCTCATTCGTAATTTTGTATAGTAGTATAGATGATATAAAACCAAATAATGTCCTTACTTTTACTTAACCTTTTAACAATTAGAGATGAGTTTCCTTTACATTTAATCTCTCTTTTATCAGTGAGAAAATTGATACATACTAAGGGAAACTTTACATAATGAGCAAGCAATCAACCAATTTTTCTTATTTTTGATATTATCTTTTTTTCTTTAATCCTGAAAGATACAACAAATCTTTGGTCACTTGTGTGCAACCCTAAACGATTTACAATTTTCCGAGATATTTGCTTTAACACTTGTTTACCTCTATTTGCCAATCTGGCCGTTAATATTCCTTTCTCTACGGTTGTGATGCGCATCGATAACTGGCTCATCCGCCTTGCGAAACACCGCTCCCAGCTCCTCCAGCCTTTTTCCCTGGGTATCCGAAAGCATGATATAAAGGAACACCCATCCAGCTGATGCTATTCCCGCGTATACAAAAATTGTCCCACCGGTTGTGATGCCATTGCTCAATGGTCTGAACGTCCCCATGATCGCTGCACTCGTAGCGCGATTTACCGCAGCTGCCACGCTCACTCCTTCAGCCCGTAGCCTCAACGGAAAGGCCTCCGAGCAATACACCCACGAAGTGGGCCCCAGCCCAATCGAGAAAAACCCAGCGTAGGATAATACCGTAGCGATACACAGAGCGATGGCCCACGGCAACGGCTTATCCGGATAATGTTCAGCCACCTTTAGCCCCACACCAAGCCCCAAGAGTGACACGACCATACCGGCAACGCTAGTCAGAAGCAACCGTCGCCGTCCGATTCTGTCCGCCAGAAAAGCAGATATCAAGACGAAGCAAGTCTTGCAGAATCCGACGGCCCCCCTTCCACCTAATATTTCTGGAATTTCTAAACCGACCCTCTGGATAATTTGTGGGGTGTATAACGCTACGGCATCTATGCCGGAGGCTTGCTGCAAGAAGAGTACACCGACGGATGCGATCAAAATTCGACGAATCGACGGTGACGGGTGGAGGAAAAGCTCCTTCCAGACACCTCCGCCGTTGCTGCGTTTCTGTCCGACAGCTGCAGCGATCTCGTCTTCGGTGTAGTTCTCCGTTATTCCGGCTTCTGGCTTGATCTCGATGAGTCGTAAAACAGCTTCTTCCTCGGAATCATAGATCTTGACGAGTACATTTTTGGCCTCACTCAGTCGGCCTTGCATGACGAGCCAACGCGGTGACTCGGGCAGGCGGAGAAAGCTGAAGGCCAAGATGATTGACGGAATCGCTCCAAGTCCGAGCATGAGACGCCAACTGAGTTCGTCGGAGAGTCTAGAGACGAAGTAGATGCAGATGTAAGCCAGAAAGATTCCGACGTTGGTGAAGAATTCAGGGAACGATGTTAAGAAGCCTCTGGACAAAGCAGGTGAGATCTCAACGGTGTAAACGGGAGCAACCATGAGTGCGTAGCCGACGCCAATACCGGCGACGGATCGACCCACCAAAAGAGTGGCGTAATTTTGAGCAAAAGCCAAGATAATAGAACCTATGAACAAGATCACGGCGGAGATGGTGAACGTGAAACGACGTCCAATCCAGTCAGATGTTCTTCCTGCGGCTACGGAACCGATTGCAGCGAAGAGGTTTATAATTATGATTAGGATATCTGCTTGTGTATTGCTTAAGTTAAGATTATATACGATGAAAGGGTCTCCTCCGATCATTGCCCCAATATCTGTGCAGCAAAGAAAAACATCGTTATCAGAGAAGAAGAACAATTTTAGCATTTTGTATATTACAGGAGAATGGAGAATGAGCAAAAGAGCATGAGAGTTCGGGACAGAAGAATCAGGAGTTAGTAATAGGAAATTCCCATTCTATCCTTTTACTTCCAAGAAAAAGCGAAAGCACTTACTGTAACCAAGTAAAAGCGAAACTGTGGAAGCTAAAATTGCAAATTTCAGAGAGAATTTATTTTTCTGGCGTTTCTCCAGCGATGAAAATGCCGGAGTGGGATTCTCAGATGCCGCGGAGCGAGCATTGTTTCCAGTTTCCATGCCAGCCAAGACAGAGAGAGAGATCTGAAGTCGAGGTTATACTCTAGAGAAGAAAGCGAGGGGGGATTAAGCAAGACAGGATATTCAAAGTCAACAAACACAATTGGGTCAAGTCAAGGAAAGGAGAAGTACGAGTTGGCCCATTGCAGAAATCTGAACACCAGCCAATCCATACATAATTTACAATGACTCTCGAATTCAACTTTTGAAATTATAAGGCCGATTCCCACGCCATCTAAGCATCACATTTCTACCTAAGCTTTTTCTCTCAGGTGGCAATCCAACTCGCATTACATGTCACAATAATATTTATTTAAAATTTTATTTTGAAATTTACCCTTAAATTGCAAATACTAAAATGACCCTGTTAGGGCCCACGACCATTGTTCTCTCCCGCCCTCCCTATTCTCTCTCTTTCGTTTTCTCACACTCGCAACTCTCTTCTCTTCGACTGCAACTTTTCCCTAGACGATTGAACTTCGGTTCCTCTCCCTCTCTCCTGTTCTCCCACCTCGCTCTCACTCTATAACTCTCTCCCGGTCTCCCTCTGTCTCGCCCCCATTCTCTCTCTCTCTCTCTCTCTCTCTCTCTCTCGGTCTCCCTCCCCCTCTATCGCTCTCCTGCTCTCCCTCTGTCGCCCCCACTTTCTCCCATTCTCGCCCCCCTCAGTCTTGCTCTCCCTTTGTGGCACTCTCACCCTCTCCCTTTATCAGTCTCTCTCGCTCTCGCTTTCTCCCGTTCTCTCTCTCCCTCTGTCCTGCTCTCCCTCCCTCTTGCTATCACTTTCTCCCGTTCTCCCTCAGTCTCACTCTCCCTCTCTTCTGTTCTCCCTCCTCGCTCTCACTCTATAACTCTCTCCCGTTCTTCCTCTGTCTTGCCCCCATTCTCTCTCTCTCTCCTGGTCTCCCAACCCATCTATCGCTCTCCTGCTCTCCCTCTGTCTCGTTCTCCCTCTACTTATAAATTTTTAGGTAGCATTGTTGCTTTTTTCACTTCTATTCCTGTCTCAATTTATACCAAGTGAAGGCCCATCTTAACTGTTTTTGTTTCTTGCGCAGCATTTGTCACTGCTCCATCATTTTGTTTGCCTTATCCATCAGACTAAAGTTTTGGCCAATACATTGAGGCCTTCCCTAACCGGAGGAAATTATCATTTTGAACACTTGTGCCACTAACAGGTATTTGACAAATTCTTTGTATGATATTTTAATTTGTTATAGTCAATCAAATGGCAAAATCTAATACCCCTAGAACCGAATGACAATCTATTAATCTTTTCTCCAAAGAACCTTCATCACAGTCCGATAATACAAACCAAAGTATTATTTTATCGTCAAAAGATATTGTTTGTTTCCAAAGGTTTCGGATGTCTTTATATTAAAAATAGTCATTTTAACTCCATCTCGGTAAATTTTTACCAAGTTAGGTGATGGTTACTAGGTTGGCACATTTGGCACCTTATTTGCTAAGGGGCCAATAAGATTTGTTTTTTTTTTTTTGTTGAAGAATAAGATAAAATTCATTAGGAAAAAATACATTAGGATGGTGATAAGCCATCACCCAAAGAGGAAATAATTCTAAAAATCCAATCTTGATCTCACAGATCCCATACTAATACCTGCAAAACCGAATGACAAAATCTTATCATATTTTCTCTAAACAACCTCTATTACAGTCCAAGAAACAAACCAAAATATTCCTTTATTGTCACAAGATCTTGCTTCTTTTCTATGGCTTTTGCATGCCATTATATTTCAAAATGTCATTTTAATTCTATCCTGGTAAAGTTTTACCAAGTTAGATGATGCTTACCGGGTTGACACATTTGGCCCCATCTCTACCAATGGGCCATTAAGATATCATTTTTTTTGAAAAAAAAGATAAAATTCATTTGAAAAAAAAAACCTTAGGAAGTGATAAAGCATCACCCAAAGAGGAAATAAACCCAAGAGCCCCACAATCATCCTACTGGTCCCATACTAATACCCGTAGAACCGAATGGCAAAATCTGATAATTTTTCTCCAAAGAACCTCCATCACAGTCCGATAATACAAACCAATGTATTATTTTATTGCCAAAAGATATTATTTGTTTCCAAAGACTTTCAGATGTCTTTATATTAAAAATAGTAATTTTAACTCCATCTTGGTAAATTTGTACCAAGTTAGGTGATGGTTACTAGGTTGGCACATTTGGCACCTTATTTGCCAAGGGGCCAATAAGATTTGTTTTTTTTTTTTTTTGTTGAAGAATAAGATAAAATTCATTAGGATGGTGATAATCCATAAAGAATTCCAAAAACCCAACTTTGATCTCACAGATCCAATACTAATACCTGTAGAACCGAATGGCAAAATCTTATCATATTTTCTCTAAACAACCTCTATTACAGTCCAAGAAACAAATCAAATATTCCTTTATTGTCACAAGATCTTGCTTCTTTTCTATGGCTTTTGCATGTCGTATATTTCAAATTGTCATTTTAATTCTATCCTGGTAAAGTTTTACCAAGTTAGATGATGGTTACCAAGTTAGAAGGTGAGGGAGGAGAAGCTGGTCCCATCTTGTGCCCCCCTACCTTACCATATCTGAATTTAAAGCAATTTAATTCATTGAAATATTTTGATTCCTTTTGTAGTTTGATCTAATCTTTATATGGTTTGTCATGTTGACAAATCATTTATTGAGATGTACATCTTCTCTCCCTTCCTTTTTGCAGTTTGATTTAATATTTATAGGTAATGAATTAAATGTGGACTGCTACACATATTGGTGTCAATTACACTTCCATCATGTTATCACAATTTCCTTAAATGCCAAACTGATAAACTTTTACAAATATGAGTGTGAGACATTGATTAAATTTATTGATGTGGATATAACCATCCACAATTGGAATTAATGTCCTAGCATCAATATTTCAGTTATGTAACTTAATTCAATTCCTTTGGGCGACCAACATCTATTTTAATCACTTCCTATTGCCTAACTTACCAATAATGTAATAGTGTTTTACTTATCATGTTTCATCATATTTAAGCATGCTTTTAATGAATTAAATTGCTTTCCTCCATCACCGTTGTGCTTAAGAAGATGTGTATCACCGAAATTGACATGAGGTTGTTTGGTTGCATAGTAATTGTTATTCATTTTTTTCCTTTTGTTGAATGGTGTGCCAATTTGTTTGAATTTTAATCAGACAAAAGGGGAAACTTTATACAATTGGTTTTATCTCAAGCTGATATACTTGGCACTATGAATTCTTCATTATTTCCTTGTGTATATATACTTGTTTCAACTGACCTTGATTATTTTCTACAGCTATTTACAATGCAAGATGCAATTATACATTAGAAATAGTATCACCCATTTGGTAAAGTTTATTTAATCACTTAACTTGTCTAGCCATAAGGGTGTTGAAGATGTCATGGGACAAACACCATTTGCACATTTTCTTGACTTCCCAGATGTAATGTCTGAGAAGTCGCTTCTATCTGCACTTGTGAATTGTTGGGACATGCAGTCAACTTCATTTAGGTTAGGGAGAAAGCTTGTCATATTCACAACATCTGATGTAGCTTTGATTTTGGGTTTGCCTACGAGAGGCAATTTTGTAGATTTGTACATGACCCCACATACATTACATTTACAAACGAAAATCTTTGGAAAAAATGTGATATAATGGGGTGTTAGAAGAAAAAAATTAGGGAGTTGTTAGGAAACAAGAAGGCAAAAAGGAAATATGTCCCAAAGTTGCTTATTGTCTATATATTGGGTCAATTCCTTTTTACAAAGACCTGCTATAACATTGATTGCAAATGGTTTGAGTACGCTGATAAGTTTGAAGAATTAAGAGATTATGATTGGGCTGGTGCTGTTCATAGGGAGCTACTAAATAGTTTGAATGAACTCTCTATGTTAATGATGAAGGAGGCACCACCCAAAACTGGGTGGCTACGTGGTTGTGCTACTATATTCATTGTAAGTTTACATTTTGTATAAAAATTAATTCCATTTAATAAACCTTGTATGCTAATGTTGAGTGAGTTCTTATCTTGTCACCTGCAGATTTGGTTGTTTGAACATTCCACTGTATGGATTCCTTCCATGATAGATGCATTTCCAAGAATTGCAAAATGGTCTAGCACCACTTATCGTCGAAGAACATATAGTGATGCTATTGCCATGCTTGCGGATGATGAGGTAATATAATGGGATTTTATTATACTGTCAATCTTCTAACATAGATTATTGTTCTAAAACATTTTGTGCTTCATTTTTTTTAAGGTTCTTCAAATTTTAGTTCCTACCTCCAGTGAAGAAGTGGCTATGTTGGATGATGAAGAAGATGAGGAGGAAGGAGCCTCCTCAAATTAGGAATTGGTTTTGGAAATTAGAAGTCTTAAGTCAAAGGTTGCACAATTAACCGATGAGAACATTTTTCTTCGGTCCTTGTTACCATCACAAGTATGGGAAGAAAAACAAGGTGATAAAGAAGATCAACCTGACGAAGGTGGTAGGAAGATTCACTCTAGGCAAGAAAGAAAGAAAGCTCCTATTTTGTGTTCACCATTTGTTAACGAAGGAGCAAAAAGGATTGAGAAAATGCACATGATTGATGTAGATAGTACAACACCACCATTAAATAAGGAGGTATATTTCCATATCGTATTTATTAAATATGATGGATTGGCAAAACAAGTTTAACAACCTAGCAGCATTTTATATTTCAAGTCATCGATGGAAAGAGATTATGGAGATCCTGCAACTTCAAATGCCAATTATCTAAGAGTCAACAATCAACTATTAGACAGTTTCTATCAGCTCCAATTACTAGGTTGATTACACATGCATTAGACATAGGTAAATAGAACACCCCTGATTTATCGAGTTATTAATACAGTTTTCACATATGCAGTGAAATTATTTGGATTGATGGAACCAACAACTTGGCCGGGATACACTTGTACTCACTATTTGATGGTGGCCTGATATGGGATGATGTATGTAACTCTTGCAGTAGATTTTTTTCACCTATAATAATTATATATTTGATAATTTGTATATAACTATTGGGTTGCCTTTATTTTTTTTGTAGGCCATAAATGCATATGGATG